CAAATTATTCCTTTCTAGATGATTATAAATCCTATCTCTTATAATCCTTTCCAACATTTTACCCATGGACATCCAGTCCCTATACACTTGCATTCCCCATGCAGATGGCCTAAAGGCCCTCCGCTTCTTCCTGTCCCGCAGGCCTGACCAGTCCCCCTCCACTGACACCCTTATCCACTTAGCCAAACTCATCCTCACCCTTAACAACTTCTCCTTCAATTCCTCCCACTTCCTACAGACAAAGGGGGTGGCCATGGGTACCCGCATGGGCCCAAGCTATGCCTGCCTCTTTGTAGGGTATGTGGAACAATCCCTCTTCCGAAGCTACACTTGCCCTATCCCCCACCTCTTCCTCCGTTACATCGATCACTGAGGAGCTTGAACAGTCCATCCACTTCACTAACACCTTCTGGCCCAAATTTAAGTTCACCTGGATCATCTCCGATACCTCTCTCTCCTTCCGGGACCTATCTGTTTCCATCTCTGGCAACCACCTGGAAACCGATATCCATTTCAAGCCTACCGACTCCCACAGCTACGTAGAATACACCTCCTCCCACCCACCTTCCTGCAAAAATGCCATCCTCTATTCCCAATTCCTTCGCCTCCGCCACATCTGCTCCCGAGATGAGGCGTTCCACTCCCGGACATCTCAGATGTCCTCGTTTTTCAAGGACTGCAACTTCCCCTCCACAGTGGTCGAGAACGCCCTCGTCCATGTCTCCCACATTTCCCGCAACTCATCCCTCACACCCCCTCCCCGCAACAACAACCAAAACAGAATCCCCCTCGTCCTCGCGTACCACCCCACCAACCTCCGGATCCAACGCATCATCCTCCGGCACTTCTGCCATCTGCAATCCGACCCCACTACCAAAGACATTTTTCCCTCCCCACCCTTATCTGCCTTCCAGAGGGACCACTCTCTCCGTGACTCTTTTGTCCACTCCATACTCCCCATCAGCCCCACCACCCCTGGCATTTTTCCCTGCAACCACAGGAAGTGCTGCACCTGCCCCTACACTTCACCCCCATCCCAGGCCCCAAGAAAACCTTCCACATCAAACAGATGTTCACCTGCACATCTGCTAATGTGGTATATTGTATCTGCTGTTCCCGATGTGGCCTCCTCTATATCGGGGATGCCAAGCGGAGGCTTGGGGATCGCTTTGTGGAACACCTACGCTCGGTTTGCGACAAACGACTGCACCTCCCAGTCACGAACCACTTCAGCTCCCCCTCCCACTCCTTGGACGACATGTCCATCCTGGGCCTCCTCCAGTGTCACAAGGATGCCAACCGAAGGTTGCAGGAACAGCACCTCATATTTCACTTGGGAACCCTGCAGCCCAGTGGTGTCAATGTGGACTTCAGAAGCTTCAAAATCTCCCCTCCCCCTACTGCATCCCAAAACCAGCCCAGCTCATCTCTGCCTCCCTAACCTGTCCATCCTTTCTCCCACCTATCCACTCCTCCCACCTCAACCCCCACCCCCTACCTACCAGCCTCATCCCCGCCTCCTTGACCTGTCCGTCTGGAATGACCAACCCCCACCCTAACTCCCCACCTACACTCACCTTTACTGGCTCCATCCCCGCCTCCTTGACCTGCCTGTCTCCTCTCCACCTATCTGCTCCTTTATCCATCTTCCATCTACCTTCCTCTCTCTCTCTATTTATTTCAGAATCCCCTTCCCCTCCCCCATTTCTGAAGAAGGGTTCAGACCCGAAACGTCAGCCTTCCTGCTCCTCCGATGCTGCTTGGCCTGCTGTGTTCATCCAGCTCCACACCTTATTATCTCAGATTCTCCAGCATCTGCAGTTCCTACTATCTCTGACAAAGTCAGCCTTGGGCTACAGAATGGTACAGAACGAAGGAGGCCATGTAGCCACCATACCTGTGCTGGCTCTTTGAAAGCCTCCCAGTCTTTCCACATAGTCCTTTTAACAATGCAAATTTTTGCTTTTCAAGTTCAGGCCCGAGATTCAATAGAGGAGGGAGAAAGCTTCTGTGACACTCAATGGACTGAATAGCTTGTTTCTAGCTGTAAAATTTTAAATATTCGTCCCAATCCCTTTAAAAAATAATTAATTAATCAGCCCTCTCAGGCAGAGTGTTCAAGATCACAACAACTTGCTGCGTAAATATATTTCCCACATTTTGCTGCCTCAAAACAGCACTGCAGTTGTCAAATGGCTTTCCAATATGACTGCATTTTAAGCATTCTGAAGCAAGTGAGTGAGTTGGTTAAGTGTGAAGACCCTTCAAATGCTTGGTGCAGCCGTCTACATGGAGTCATAGAGTCATACAGCATGGAAACAGACCCTTCAGTCCAACCAGTCCATGCCGACCATTGTGCAAAACTAAACCAATCCCAACTGTCTGCTCCTGGCCCATATCTCTCCAAACCTTTCCTATTCATGACCTTATCCAAATGTATTTTAAATGTAATTGTACTCACATTCACCACTTCCTCAGGGAATTCATTCCACACACAAACCACCCTCTTGTGTAAAAAAATTGCTCCTCATGTCTTTTTTAAATCTCTCTCCTCTCACCTTAAAAATGTGCCCCCTAATCTTGAAATCCCCCACCCTCAGGAAAAGACAACTCCCATTAACTCTATCTAAAGTGCAGGACCCTTTAGGCTACCAAACAGCTGTATAGCTTGGACAGAACAGTGGCCAGAATTAATAATACAGAGAAAAAAGTTTGTAATCATAGCCATGAGGTTAGTGCATCAATGTGAAAAGCCCATCTCATTGACAAATACCCTTTAGGGAAAAAAATCTGCCATCCTTACTCAGCCTGGACTGTATCTGACTCCAGACCCACAGCAATGTGGTTGTCCCACAAGAACTAGGAGCAGAAGACCACTCAGCCCCTCAAGCCCACTCTGCCAATCAGTAAGACCATGGCTGATCTGCCTCTACCCTGGTTTCCAGTCTGCTTCTTATAACCATTGACTCCCTTTTCAACCAAAAATCTTACTCATCCTTGGATGTATTCAGTGTCCCAGCCTCCACTGCGCTCCAAGGAAAAGAATTCCAAAGACTAACTAAACCAACAAATTGTCCTCCTATCAGTCTTAAATTGGGCTCTCCATATTTCTAAATTGTGCCCCTTAGATCTAGACTCTCTCACAAAGGAAACATCCTCTCGGAATCCACCTCATCAACACCCCATTATCGTAGCAATACGATCACCTTTCACTCTTCTGAAGAAGGGTCCCGACCCAAAACGTCAGCTTTCCTGCTCCTCTGATGCTACCTGCTGCGTTCCTCCAGCTCCACACTGTGTTATCTCAGACTCCAGCATCAGCAATTCTTACTACCTTTCATTCTTCACTGTTTTAAACTCCAATGGGTACAGGCCCAACCTATTAACTCTTACCTGATTTCGCTCACTGATTTTTAATTCTATCGTGACAACATAACTGGCCGCTGACAGGTTCTCGACAGCAACAGGAAATGGGCAATTAGCCTTGTCTTTGCAGGGATACCCATTTCCTATTAGTGAATGAAAAAGGGGTGGTAATTTTTAATTCAATCACTATTCAGAGATCACATTAAAGCCCCATGCTGTCATGTAACCCCAGCAAATGAATAATTCAACAGCTCTAGACCAGTTACTTTCTTTTTTTCTTTAATTTACAAGATTGCTTAAAATGAATTAAAATTCTCAAATTGCCACAGTGGGATTTGAACTCAACAATTGTTCTGTTGCTAATCCCACACCTGGATTATTAGTCCAGTAACATAACCAAAATACCCTATTGAGATTTCTGTCTCAATAATTTGGCTAAAGGTTTCAAGATTTAGCTTACATAATTGCAAAGGATTTTAACTGCGCTAACATTAGCTTGTCTATTTAGGAAATAACAATGTGGGTTTTTTTAAAATTCATTCATGGCATGTGGACATCATTGGCTGAGCCAGCATTTATTGCTCCATCCCCAGAGAAGGTGGTGGTGGGCTGCCATCTTGAACCGCTGCAGCCCATGTGCTATAGTTTTACCCACAATGCTGTTAGGGAGGGGGCGATCCAGGATTTTGACCCAGCGATAGTGATATATTTCCAAGTCAGGAGGGTGAGTGGCTCAAGGAGGGAACTTGCAGGGGGTGGTGTTCCCATGTTTGTACTGTCCTTGTCCTTCTAGGAAATGGTACCAGTTTTTTTTCCTTTATTCATTCAGGGGAATGAGGGCATCGCTGGCTAGGCCAACATTTATTACCCATCCCTAATCGCCTAGAGGGCAGTTAAGAGTCAACCACATTGCTGTGGGTCTGGAGTCACATGTAGGCCAGGCCAGGTAAGGATGGCAGTTTCCTTCCCTGAAAGATATTAGTGAACCAAATGGGTTTTTCCCGACAATCAGCAATGGAGTCATGGTCATCTTTAGATTCATAATTCCAGGTATTTTTGTTGAATTCAAATCCCACCATCTGCCTTATCTGGGTCTCTGGATTAACAGTCCAGTGATAATACCACTAGGCCGTTGCCTCTCCTGAGTATTTCCAAACCTTGATAAAACTCCAACGGGCTGAATGGCCTCTTTCCAAACTGTAATGACTATGGATTTCCAGACCATTTCTAAAGTACAAAACGTGTCCCAATATGAAATACTACTAAAGGATTAAACTATACCCCACTAAAAGGGACAGCATTGGTGAGTGGGAACTAGGGGCCTGCCCTAGGCCTCTGCTGTAAAGAGAGGAAGATTTAGAGAAATATTTCCTTCTCAATAGTTGCCTTAATGACCATGTGAGGAAAGAAGATCCTAAAAGTCACAAACAGAAAATACATAGTCATTTCTATTTTATAGCCTTTTGGGCGTCAGCCATTTAACCTACTTCCTTCCAAGAAACAAGAAGTTCCTCATTACTGATGTCCCCAAGAACGGTCACTAGTTAGCGCTAAATATAATATTCATGTGAATCTCGATAATATTTTGTAAAGGTTTCATTAATTTTTGAGTGTTAACGGGTGGGAAATCATACCTTAAGTTCCTTGATGTCGTCAATTTTGATGACAAACTCGTCCCACTTCCGTATGGCACCTTCTCCGCCACTCTCCTCATCATCTTCGTCAGTCTCGCCATAAATGGCCACTGTGTCTTGTTTATTGGCTAGCTTGACTGGGGAAGGAGCCTCCTTCTCTTCTGGCTGTGGTGGGGACTCGGGGGCAGGAGAAGGTTCTTCTTCTGGGATCGACTCTTTAGGCAAGACCGGAGATGGGGGTGCAGGCTGCTCTGGCTGGGAGGCCTCAGAAGGTGATGTGCTGACTTCTTTATCTTCTACGGTCATATTATCTGGCAAAACAACACAGATTGAAATGGAAATAGTCAGATTCAAGGAACAGTCTCTCTTCTCCTACTCAACCCCAAATTTCACTGATATCTCCCTTTTCTTTTCCAAAGGAAATACAGAATAGAAACAGACCATTCAGCCCACCTTTCCAAACCAGTGTTTAAGCTGCACTTTGAGCTTCCTCCCATCTTTCCTCATCTAATCAATCTGCTTAACCCTCTAGTCCCTTGACCCTCCTGTGCTTGTTTGACCTTACTTTAAATACAGAAGCTTGAACACATGCACCAACAGGTTTGAGAACAGCTTCTTCCCTGCTGTCATTAGACAGATGAATGGACTTTATAACTTCAAATAATGTTAATCTTGCTTTGTGCACCTCCTGTGCAGCCATAACCTTGTATGCCTTGGTCTGTCTAAGCACCCTATGATCTGTACGTCCTTATTTGCTAATGATCTGCCTGTACTGCTGGCAAAACAAAGAATTTCGCTGTACTTAGGTATATGTGACAAATCAAATCGATAACATTCACTTCAACCACTCCTAACGCTAATGAGTTCCAAATTCCCGTGGCTTTTTAGCTAAGGGGCCTCTCCCAATTTTGGTGCATACCATGGAGCGAAGAAACGAGAGAGGGTCCCTTATGAGCATGCTTTCCTCTCTGCCTGATTTTCCCGTATTTGCTAGGTTACAACGAAACCCAATTGACCATGATACAAGAAACTCTGTCCTCCAATCTCGAGGGCGATATCTAATTTGGGTACAATGTTTAAGCATCAAATTTACAGCAGATTTGGTCCAACTGGTCCGTGCTAGTGTGTAATCTCTGCCCAACCCACTTCATCTGACCCTGTATTCTAACCTATTTGCTACATCTCATCCACTTGTCTAGCTTCTCCTTAAATGCATCGATACATTCACCCCTCCCCCCCACCCAATGACTACCATGATACAGAGTTCCACACTCTGTTGAAGGGAGAGATTTACTCCTGAATTCCTGACTGGATTTACTGGTTTCTGTCTCCTCAACAAATCTAAACATCTTCTCTGCGTCTACCCTTTCAACCCTCTTTGAAGACTTCAATTGAATCAACCTTCAAAAGTGCTCAGTTTGGACAATCCTGATAACTATAACCTCACAGTTCTGGTGCCATCCCTGTAAAAAAAAAACCTTCTCCAGACACAGCTGGGATTGGAACAAAGACTAAGAGCAGACGCAGGCCATTCGCTCTGCCATTCAACTAGATCATGGCTGACCTTCTACCGCAAGCCATTTTTCCTCATTATTCCCATTTCCCTGATATCTTTAATATCTAGAAATCTATTAATCATTCGATTGAACATACTCAATGACTGAGAGAACTCCGAAGATTTCACCACCCTCTGAGTGAAGTAATCCCTCATTTCAGGCCAAAATATACCACTGCTTATTCAGACAGTGGATCTCCTGAGTCCAGACGCTCTCCAGCTAGATTCTTTCCGAATGTAGCCTATCGAGCTATGTAAGAAATTTACAAGTTTCCATGTGATGATGTCTCATGTTCTGAATCGTGACAAAATAAGGGCCCTCTTGTGGTGCGGTGGTGCAATCCTTAACCCTAGATCAGGAGGCCCAGGTTCAAGTCCCAACTGCTCCAGAGGTGGGCAATAACATCTCTGAAGAGACTGATTAGAAAAATAGGTCAATACGATGCGATTTGATCTCCTACCTTAACTTCGAGTTCCTGCTGGCTTCCCACCTTGACTCCCTTACATTAAGAAAGAAAGCACGGTACCTGTCATGTCATTCTCCTTGCGATCCATTGGGTCATAGAGGGCAGAGATGGCAGAGCTGATGCTCTTCTGCAGGTCCTGGTTCTTGCTGACTGAATCCTCCTCGTCAGAGGAGAACGACGGCAGAGTCTCCAGGTTCTTCTTGAGGTCATCGTCGAACCTCTTGCAGGGGCTGGCACAGCTCATTAGGCTGTCGCTCTCTGAGGCGTCGAGGGGCCCCGACAGCATTGACTGCGTCAGGCCGAAGGAAGCTTGTGATGGCTGGTTAATAACCGACGAGGGGCGCCCTTTCTGCGGGCTAGAGGTCGTGGCTGGCAGCTGCTGCCTCTTTCCCGATTTCAGGAAGTCCAGGAACGAGGCCATGAATCCGGATTTCATTTCCGGCTGTTTCTCCTCCACCTCTTTTATTTTCTTCTTGATCTTTTCTTGGGTTTGACTGTTCTCCAAGACGCTTTCCGCTGGGACAGACTCTGGAGCCTCGATGGGTAGAAGCTCACTTGTCTTTGACCCTTGAACCTTGGCCTTTGAGGAGGGAAAAGTGCACACATCACCATGTTGTTGTTAAGGCTTCAAACTAAGGGCACGAGTGAAGAGACAAAATTATTGTGACAAACACCAAAACTGAAAACATCTAGAAGGGAGAAAAGGAAATGCAGGTTGGGGAAAGGAAGACAACATGTTGCCGTGAAAAACAAAATGAGTTAAGAACAGGAATAGGTGGCCTGAATCTTCATTGGAAGACAGTGAGAAGGAAGAGTATGGGAATACAGATGGTCCTCCTGTATCCCAAGAACCCTTTGTCTCTCCCCTGACAGTACAGTCCCACCTTCCCAGGAATTAGCCAGGCGAATCTCTGCTGCACTCGCTCAATGGGAAATCTATCATTCCTTGGGTAAGGGGTTGTAAGATGCACAGAATGCTCCGATACAGATCCCCCCTCTACGATTCTGTATAATCAAAGCATAATGTTCCAACATTGAGGCTGTTTAAGCTTGAGGGAAACAGACATTTAGTTTCTCAGGGAATCGAACCACTTGAGGAGTGGGCAGGAATGTGGAGTTGAAGCAGAAGGTTATCCACGATGATACTGGGAGACAGAGCACATTCGATGGGCAGATTGGTCAGCTCTTGTTCCTCCGAGACTTTTCGACGCTGAAAAACTAAGAGCCATGCAGACCATAAGATGTAGGAGCAGAAGTAGGCCATTCGGCCCATTGAGTCCATCCTGGCATTTAATGAGATCATGGCTGATCTGATAATCCTCAACTCCACTTTCCTGCCTTTTTCCCATAAAACTTGATTCCCCGATTTAAAAACCGAACTCAGCCTTGAACGTACACAATGACCCAGTCTCGACAGCCCTCTGCAGTAAAAAAAATCCACAGGTTGACTACCCTCTGAGAGAAGAAATTCCTCCTCATGTCTGTTTTAAATGGGTGAACCTTTACTCTGAGATTATGTCCTGTGTCTCCTACAAGGGGAAACAACATTTCTGCACTGACCCTGTCAAGAAACCTCGTAAGAATCTTGTATGTTTCTATAAAGTCACCTCTCACTCTTCTGAACTCCAATGAGAACAGGCCCAACGTACTCAATCTCTCCTCACAAGGACATCTCTCCATACCCAGTATCAGCCGAGTGAACCTGCTCTGAACTGCCTCCAATGTCAGTCGATCTTTCCTTAGATAAGGGGCCCAAAACTGTTCACAATATTCCAGCTATGGTCTGAGTAGTGCCTGTATAATCCCATTCTCCCACAAAGCTTTTCCGGCATGTTTTCGCCAGATTTCCTTTTGATTTGAATCTGGGGATTTCACAGAATAGATCCTGAAAGGATCCCCCTTGTTGGAGAATCTAACATTAGGGGCCATGTTTTTCAAAATGAAGTGTCTCCCAGTTAAGACAGAGATGAGGAGGAATTTCTGCTCTCAGAAAATTGACAGTGTTTGGAATTATCTTTCCCAGAGAGCCGTGGAGAGGCCGTGGATCATGGAATACATCGAAGGCCAAACGAAACGTAAAAACTAAGAGGAGCAAGCCATTTGGACCTTTGAGCATGCTGTGCCATTCAGTATGATCTTCTATATCAATGCCATATTCCCGTTTTTCTCCCCCAGACCTCGAAGCTTTTTAAATCTTTTTCTTGAATATATCCGCTACCTTCTGTGGTATAGAATTCCACAGTACACTACCCTTTGAGGGAAGACACTTTTCCTCATCTCAATCCTCTCCTAAATGATCTATCTCAAATCCTGAGACTGTGTTCTTTTGGTTCTAGACTCCCGCAACTGGGGAAATCCTCCCTGCATCTAGTCTGTCCAGCCTTGTTAATATTTTATATGTTTCAGTCAGATCCCCTCTGATCCTTCTAAACTCTAGTGAATACACAGAACATAGAACAGTTCAGCACAGGACATGATGCTGTGCCAAACATGACACCAAGTTAAAGTAATCCCTTCTGCCTGCCCTTGGTCTATATCCCTCCATTCCTTGCATGTTCATATGCTTATCTAAAAGTCCCTTAAATGCCCCTATCATATCTGCCCCCCACCACCACTCCTGACAGCATGTTCCAGACTCCTACCACACTCTGTGTAAAAGATTTCCCCCTCATGTCTTCTTTGAACACTCCCCCTCTCACCTTAAATGAATGCCTCCTAGTTTTAGACATTTCAACTCTGGGAAAAAGATTCTGACCATCAACCCTATCTATGCATCTCATAATTTTATAGACTTCTATCAAGTCTCCCCTCAGCCTCCACAGCTCTACAGAAAACAACCTGAGTTTTCCAGCCTCTTCTTATAGCTCAGGCCCAGTTGAACCAATTTCTCCTCACAGGACAGTCCTCTTATAGTTTCTACATTTCGTTTGGCCTTCGATGTATTCCATGACAGGACAGTCCTGCCATCCCCAGTATCAGCCTAGTGAACCTCCGCTGCACTCTCTCTACGGCAAGTATATCCTCTCTTAGGTAGGGAGTCTAAAACAGCATGCAATACTCCTGGTTTGGCCTCAGCAAAGCCCTGTATACTGCAGGAAGGTATCCCTACTTCCAAACTCCAATCCTCTTGTAATGAAGGCCAATGTATCATTTGCCTTCCCATTTGCTTGCTGCACCTTTCTGTTTACTTCCATCGAAAGGGCACAAGGACACCCCGATTCCTTTGTACATTCACACTTCCCAGGATCCCACCATTTAAATAATACTCTTCCTTTCTGTTTTTTCACACCGAAATATATAACTTCACACCTGGGCACATTGTACTGCAGCTGCCACGTGTTTGCTCAATCATTCAACTTATCTCAATCACCTTGACACCTCCTGACAATCCTGGACGGTTTTGAGAGGTTGGAATGGGACTGATTATGGGGGCCAGGCAGTGGCGTAAGACCACAATCAGACCTTCGCAAACGGTGGAGTAAGTTGGAGGGGCTGAACGGCCTACTCCTGCTCCTATTTTCTTCCATTTCAGGTGGACATGTCCCAGATCATTCGAGGCCACATTCAGCTGAATGAACAATGCCCTCCTGTGCTTTTCCCATAAAGCCTCAAAATTTCCCAACATCTGCATGAGACTCGCTCTAAAGTCGGGAAGGAAGTGGAAAGTTACCTTGCTGGGTTTCGCTTGTTTCTCCATTTTGAAGCCCTCGTTTTCGTTCTCCATAATCTTCTTGCCCCTTCCCCTGCCCCGGCCCCTCTTCTTGGGTCCATCTTGAGTCACGCCCTGAGGGGGCTCGAGGGGCCGGATCCGCGGCCGTCCCCTGGGTCTCGGGGGCCCTTTCTCCTTGGGCTTGGACGTCCTCTTGGCCTTCTTCTTGCCCTCGTTCAGGTTGTTGCCGGAGCAGAAGTCAATGTCAGAGACTGGGCTGAGGTTGGTGCGGGTGCGGCAGCTGGAGATCAGGTCAGGGAGGAGGTCGGGAAGCCTGCGGTTGTTGAGTCGGATGTCGGCCGGGACGTCCTCTTTCTCCTCGTCCTCGAACTCGTACTCCTGGGCGTAGTTCTTCTTTGGCGGCTGCGGGGGGGAGTCCTTCTTCTTCAGCAGGTGGAGTGAGGAGGTCTTCAGGAACTTCTTGGTCTTCATGGAGCAGAAGCTGGCAGTCGTCAGGGGCGACTTGAGATCGGCGCTGGTGGGCCCGTGGCCAGGCGGAGTCAGGCCCAGATGCTCGGCCTGGACGGTCGGCGGCTCCAGCTCCGGCTTCATGGCGACCGGGTTGAGGTCCAGGTGGACGTTCTGCTGCCCCCCAGCCGGCTCAGAGGCGCAGTACCCCGGGAAGCTCTGGCTCGAGTGCATCATGTCAAAGCCGGACTTCATACCACCGTCGCTCCTATCCATCGGCTGCCCGGCATCGTCCCCGCACGGCTGCTTGCTGTACTCCTCGTTGCTGCAAGGGGCCGAGCAGAACATGTCCTCCATGCCCGGGAAGAAGTTGCGCTCCTCGTCCTGCAGCAGGGAATCCGGGAAGCAGATGGAGGTGAGTGGCACGAACCTCTGCTTGGCGCTCTGTGGGCTGCCCGAGCTGAACTGGTCCTTGCCCTCCAGCTGCTGCTGGGAGACCTGCTGGGAGGTCTCTGAGCTGTCCAGCCGCAGCGGCTCGCTGGCTTCGGGGAGGAGGTGCTGGGGCTGAGGCTGAGGCTGTTGCTGCTGGGATTGCTGGACCTGCCCAGCCTGGGCCAGGTGACTCTCCAGGTGAAGCTCGGGCTCCAGGAACTCCTGCATCTCCTGTGGCTGCATGCTCTCGGAGCGTGGCAGGCGCTCCATGGCGTCGGGAGGGGCGAGCTGGGGCGAGCGGGGCTCCCCGGGCAGCAGGCGGGAGTCCAGGCCCGCGGCGTGGGCGTGGGCGGCCTGTAGCTGCTGACTCTGCAGGTGGACCTCCAGCATCTGCTGCTGGGCCTGCTGCTGGCTCTGGGTGTGGGTCAGCACCGACTGCAGCAGCTGCGACTGTTGCCCGGGCGCCTGGTGGCCTAGCGGCAGCTGCATCTCCGGCGAGGCCTCCAGCATCAGCTGCGAGCCGGCCTGGCCCTGCAGTATCCCGTGGCTCTCGAGCTGAGAGGAGTCAGGGCCCAGGTGGTGGGCCCGAGAGCCCGGCTCCGGGGTCTTCTGCAGGTAAGAGTGGCCCGTGCTGAGCTCCTTTCCGGAACCGTCCAAGTGGGGCGCCCCCTGGAGGTGGTCGACCGTCTTCTTGATGTCCTGAGCCAGGCCGTCGATGCTGTTGGGCTGGTGGCTGTAGTGCACCACCGAGGTGACCAGGGCATCGGATGAGGAGCGGCCATATTCCTTCTGCCGCTCGCCTTTCTTCTTCTCCTTCAGACCCTGCAGCGACATCTCCAGGACCTGGCTGTCCAAACTCGAGCTGGTACGGATGACGCTCTGCAGGTGGTACCTCTCCTCGGACTTGGACATCTCGTAGACCATGCCCTTGGGCGCCCGCTCCTCGCACTCGGCCAGGCTCTGCGACGAGACCCGCGGCGGGCTCTGGGAGTCCAGCAGGTGCTGGATCAGGAAGTCCTCATCCTCCGTCCTCTCCGACGCCAGCAGCTCCTGGTCGGCTTTGGCCTTGCCGTAGGCTGGCGCTCGCTCCAGGGGCGCCTGCGAGGGCTGGAAGGCCTGCGAGTGAGGCGGCTGGATGAAGGACGGCGACAGGACGGAGGACAGGTACTTCTGGGACTGGCCCGGAGACCCCACGCCCTGGGGTCGGCTGCTGGTTGGGGACTGCAGGGGCCGGATGATCGGCGAGGGGCTGGCATCCGGCAGGCTCTGGACGTGGCTGGCTGAGGAGTAGACGATGGATGGCCCGTGGGAGCTCAAGGCCGGGGAGTGTCCGGCAGCGTAGCTGAGGGAGGGACTGGCCGCAGGCATCCCTTGCGAGTGGGCCGGGCCGTAGCTCTGCCCCGGTGTAGCCGAGGAATGGGGTTCCGACTGGACGCTGTAGGTCTGGATGGAGCCAACCGACGACAGGCCCTGGAGCTGCTCTGGAGAGTAGTTCTGTGCTTGGCTGACGCAGGTCTGCAGGGCCTGTGGCTGTTGTTGCTGTTGTTGCTGCTGGGGCTGCGGCTGGGGCTGAGCCTGCTGGCTACCCGAGTAGCTCTGGGCCTTGCTCACCGCGGTCAGGTCCTGCGACTGGCTGGAGCTGAAGCCCGGCGACTGGGTCACCGCCGCCGCCGCCAGGTTCTGAGCCTGCGACACCGTGTAGCTCTGCGACTGGTTCATGCCCAGCAGGGCCTGCGACTGGCCTGGGGAGTAGGCCTGGGCCTGGGTGGAAATCACCGAGCTGGCCTTGGGGGCGGACGAGGAGAAGATGTGCGACTGGCCGCTGGAAGAGATGCTTTGGCACTTGGGCGTGACGGCGGCACCGGCGGCACCTCCCCTCTGGGCCTGCCGCGAGGCAGAGTAGCTCTTGGATTTGGAGGAGGACGATGAGGAGGAGGAGTAGCCCGGTGACTGGATGATGGGCCGGTAGCTCTGTGAGTGCTCGCCACGGGCCTGGGAGCTCTTCTGGCCGCCCTCGCTGCTCACTGGGGACTGCTCACCCAGCGGGCTGCACGACAGCGTGGAGTGCCTGGGCATCTGCTGGAAGCTGTGGCTTCCCCCGCAGCTGAGGTAGTGCTGCAGGGAGTGGTGGGAGGCGGGCAGCTGGGCCTGGGCGCCGGTGGGCCGCTGGTAGTGCTTGATGACGCTGTCCTGCCGCGGGATAGCCCTCTCGATGCCAGAGGCCGGCGAGCTGGAGAAGACCGAGGTGTTGTAGAGCTGCGAGGCCTGGTCTGAAGGCCCCAGAGGCGAGGACAGCAGGTTAAACTGCGACTGCAGGTGCCGGGAGGCCGACTCCTGCGCCGTGCGGTACGCCGAGCTCTGCGACGGCAGGCCCGTACCCAGGACGGCACTGCCCAGGCGGTCGAAGGTCAGCGAGGACGGGACACTGGACTGCGACGACTTGATGTGGAGCAGCGGGTCGTGGGGCGAGAGCAGGCCGTTGGAGCTTGGGCTGAAGGTGGCATCCTGAAGGGTCAACGACGAGGTCACCGGGAAACTCCGCCCACTGAAGGAGGCTGGGTGCTGATAGGCCGAGAGCGCAGATGACGATGGAAAAGTCCCAGAACCGGGAATAGCTCCAGAGATGAATAATTCAGCGGGTCCTGGGGTGTGCATGGCTACAAAGACAAGACAGAGGGAGAGATTATTGTACATAGATTTTACAGTACAATAACAGGCTATTTGGCCTAACCGGTCTGTCATGATCAATGGTTCAACTTTCTGTGTTTGATTATGAGAGCCTGGTAACTGATCTGTGTTCACTTGGCTCAATTGCTTAGGCCTAGATGTTGATTCAGAGTAAAGTGAACAGACCCAGAGAAGCTAAAGAAGCAGAGCTGGAAGGTCAGTGCAGATATTTTAAAGCATTGAATTAAACTCTGGAAATAAATTATCAACCCACTTCCAAACTAGCATCATCTCTAGAAAATTCAAACCAAAAAAAACTTACACACAAGCTTTCTCCCATCCTACTTCATCAATAATTTCCTGATCTATTGTCCCTCAAATATTTGTCTAGTTTCCCCTTAAATACATCTATTTGTCTTAATCTTTCCCCGTGGTGTCAATTTCCACATTGTAATCACTGTCTGGATCAAGAGGTTTCTCCTGATTTACTCTGATTTATCTGTGATTGACTTATGTCAATGACCCCCTCGAGTCCTAGTCTCCCTCACTGAGGGGAGCATCTCTTTCAACATCTGCTGTCCTCCTTGAAACAACTTTCCATTTCGATCCAACTCCCTGTGAATTTTCTCCTTTACCCATCCTTATGCAATTCCCATCATCCTTTCAGGCAGTGCATTCCAATCAGCAACAGCATGCAGGGGAAGATAATTGCTTATTTCATGCTTCCTCTCGCAAAGGTTTCAACTCACACTGGCGTGCAGGCAACAAACCAGTCTATTATTGCTGGACAATAAGCTCTCAGTCTTTATTTAAGCCAATCGTTCGGTCCATCTCACTCAGTGGCCAGTGGGACTACTCAAAAGGTCGTGAACCACATCATCATGCAGTGAACTGTGGGTAAATGTCAGGCCACAGTTGGCATATTGTGAGCAGTTTTGGACCCCGTATCTAAGGAAGGATGTGCTGGCCATCAATGGGGTCCAGAGAAGGTTTACAAGAATGAATTGTGGGAATGAAGGGCTTGTTGAGGACTTTAGGTCTGTACTCAATGGAGTTTAGAAGGGTGAGGGGGACCTGACTGAAACTTGCAGAATACTGAGAGACCTGGATAAGGTGAACAAGGAGTAGATGTTTCCATGAGTAGGAAAGACTAGGACCTAAGGGTACAATCTCAAAGTGAAGGGATGACCTTTTAGAAATGAGGTGAGGAGGAATTTCTTCAGCCAGAGGGTGGTGAATCTATGGAACTCATTGCTGCAGAGGGCTGTGGAGGCCAAGTCATTGAGTGTATTTAAGACAGAGATAGATAGGTTCTTCTAATGGTGAGAAGGGTTACAGGGAAATGACAGGAGAATGGGGTTGAGAAACGTATCAGCCACAATCGAATGGCAGAGCAGACTCAAAGGGCCGAATGGCCCAATTCTGCTCCCGCATCTTATGGCCTTTTGTCCCATGCTGGTACATACATATCTGGCCTGTCACTGCTCCTCAGGTCCCCATCAAATGACCTCATACTCTTCTAAACTCCAGCAGATAACAAGCTGAACTGGCCCAACCTTTCCTTGCAAAGACAACCCTCTCATTCCAGTTGGTGACACTGGCCATTCGGTCTATCAAGTCTGTCCCACCATTAAATGGCTGGCCTGATAATTCTCAACTCCACCTTTCTGCCTTAACCCCATTATTCCTGTCATAACCCCTGATTCCTTCTCAGACAGAAATAAAGAGAAAATTTTATTCACAGAGAGTCTTGAGTCATTGAAACTCTCTTGATCAAAAGACAATCAAAGCAGAGTCTTTGAGTATTTTTAAAGCGAGGTGTGCAGATTCTTGTTAGGGGCAAAGATTATCGCAGTTGGTAGGAACATGAAACAATCAGGTCAGCTACAGACTTGGTCAATGGTCAGAGATAATAGGAACTGCTGATGCTAGCCACAACCAGCCCAGCTCGTCCCCACCTCCTTGACTTGTCCGTCTTTTCTCCCACCTATCTGCTCCTCCCACCTCACTGACCAACCCCCACCCCCACCCTCACCTCCTACCTACCAGCTTCATCCCCGCCTCCTTTACCTGTCCATCTTCCCTCAATTGACCAACCCCATCCCTACCTACACTCACCTTTCCTGGCTCCATCCCCGCCTCCTTCACCTGTCAGTCTTCCCTGGACTGACCAACCCCCACCCTCACTCCCCACCTACACTCACCTTTCCTGGCTCCATCCCTGCCTCCTTAACCCGTCCATCTTCTCTCCACCTATCTGCTCCTTTATCCACCTTCCATCATCGCCTCCCCCCCCATCTCTATTTACTCCAGAGTCCCCTTCCCCTCCCCCATTTCTGAAGAAGGGTCCAGACCCAAAACGTCAGCTTTCCTGCTCCTCTGATGCTGCTTGGCCTGCTGTGTTCATCCAGCTCTACACCTTGTATTCTCATGGTCAATGGTGAAATGGGTTTGAGGGCCTGAATAACGTATATTCCATTTTTACATTCACATGGGTGGTATTACCTCATTAACTAAAACTTCCAAAATATTGTCGAAATGTGTATCTGTCCTGTCAGCATTTGAGTAACAATGAGTAAGTAAAGTCGCCATAGTGTCTCTCTTTCTCATCAGAGAGACAGGAATGGTGGTGATGATTTAACCTGAGGGTCAGGTTAAGCTCAGGCGAGGGGCAAGATTGAGAAGGTGGGAGCTCAAATGATGCGGGTGTTGAACCTGCTCTGTTGGCATTGAGAAACCATCTAACTGACCTAGCTACCATTTGAGTCGAGTCACAGAGATACACAGCAGGGAAACAGACCCTTTGGTCTAACTTATCCATACCAACCAGATATCCTAAATTAAATTCCATTTGCCAGCATTTGGCCCATATCCCTCTAAATGCTGCCTATTCATATACCCATCCAGATGCCTTTTAAATGTCCAAAACAATGCCACAGCTTATAAAACACTAATTACTGCCCGAAGAAATCAGCTCCAACACTGAAGAAAACCTCAAAAAAATAAATGACCAGCTCTTAGACCCAGAATCCCAACAGCATTGCGGGTCTTAACATTTTAGCGAAGTGTTAAAAATGGCTCCGAGACAGCAACTCGAGGACTGCGAAGGAGCCGTGACTGCGGTGTACCAGATGAAAGGGAGGTAACAGCATGAACTGCCTCACCCACCTGTCTGCCAGGATGGAGGTCGGAACTGTGAGAGGAGGGAGGAGGCAGAGGGTCCAGGCTGCGGTGCCCGTGATTCCAGAGCGGAAATGAGGTTCATGACAGAGGCGTCTGGGGTAGTGCTGCCAGCGTGGTGAAGCCCAGTCTCAAAAAGCCCCGAGAGGCCTGTGACAAAACAAACAAACAAAAATGGAAGGTTACAGAAATTTTATCTGAAGGTGTTTAGTAAAAGGAAAGAACTTGCATTTATATAGCCTCTTTCACACACTCGGGACGATCCAAAGCACTTAATGGCCAAGAAAATCCTTTTCACAAGTGCGGTCACCTGTTGTAATGTAAGAAATGCAGGAGCCAATTTGCGCACAGCCAGCTCCCACAAACAGCAAGATGGTAATGATCAGGTATTCTGCTTTTTGCGATGTTGACCAAGGGATAAATATTGGCCAGAACCAATCTCTCTTCTGAGCTGCACTACAACGCACCGCTTCCACGTGCAGAATTTGCAACTCGGAGTTCTGCCCAGGGACAGGTTCATTTCGAGGGAATGCTAGCCAGGGCACGGGGGACGGAAGTCCCCCTTGGTTCTTCTTCTAGCGCCGCAGCATCTCTCTGACCCACTGAGAGAGGAAATGGGGCTTAGGTTTAAGGTTTCATCTGAAAGACAGTACTTCCGACAGTGCAGCACTCCCTCAGGCACCAGCCGAGCTTCTGGAGTGGGACTTGAACCCAAACCTTCCGACTCAGAAGCTGAGTGTTTCTTCCAAAAACCTTCCCTCCTCCACGACAGTGAGTTGGAAATGACTCCTCTCCCTGCCCCCAGACACCAGGACATTTTAATCCCTGGAACCTGCGCTGAGGGTAGAAGGAACAATTATTATAGTCAGAATTATCAGAAAGCACAGAAGTTACACAAGAAGGGAGTGCTGATTGATTGATTGGTTTCCAAGGGGAATACACCAAGCAACTATCACTCCCCCATGCTATTCTTTATTTCAAATTAGGCACACTGCCTGACCATAGGGGAGGCAACAGCCTAGTGGTAATATCGCTAGACTATTAATCCAGAGACTCAGCTAATGTTCTGGGGACCTGGGGTTTGAATCATGCCATGGCAAATAGTGGAATTTGGATTCAATTATAAAAAGAAATCTGGAATTAAGAATCTACTGATGACCAGGAAACCATTGCCAATTGTCAGGGAAAACCCATCCAGCATCACTAATGTCCTTCAAGAAAGTAAATCTTCCATCCTCACCTGGTCTGCCCTCTGAAATGGCCTCCTAGCAAGCCACTCAGTTCAAGGGCAGTTAGGGACAGGCAATAAATGCTGGCCAGCCAGTGACACCCACATCCTATGGGAAATAAAATTAAAATGTTCCTCTTGCTTGCAGAGGCAGCTTCCTGGCTTGAATGGCTGTAACTTCTCATCAGCAGTAGTGACCCAGACCTGAAACTTGAATTAGTCAACTTACCGACCAAACAGGTGATAAAAATTGTTGTTCCTTTTCGAACTTGTATGTCCCAATGGTAAGCAGCCTTTTGACTGGCAATCAGGACCCCATTCACCATCTTCAAGATTCACTTGCTTCCACCTCCCAAGCACAGTAGCAGCAGGATGTACCATCTACAAGATGCGCCATAATAACTCACCAAGGCTCCTTAGACAACACCTTCCAAGCCAAAGACCACCACCATCCAGAAGGACAAGGGCAGCTCGTACAAGGGATCACCACCCGCTGCAAATTCCCCTCCAAGCAACACACCATCCTAACTTAGAAATATATCGCTGTGTCGCTGGGTCAAAATTCTGGAATTCCCTCCCTAACAGCATTATGGGCCAAGTTGGCAGCTCACAACCAACTTCTCAAGGGACAATAAAAGACATGATGATTGCAGGTCCAGCATGCAAAGCCCATAATCCTGCGAATGAGTGAAAAGTTAATAAAATTGCTACTCACCAGCGGGATGATGATTGGTTGCATAGCCTTGAAGAGGATGAGGTGTCGCGTAGGCTTGTCTGTGTAGAATGTCTGTTTCGGGATGTGAACTGCGAGACCCTCCATACACCAGACTAGATGAGAATTAAATTTTCAAAAATAAAACAATGATTCAAAGGGAATAATAGAAAAGACTGGCACATCAGAAAAAAGTCCTTGGATTAGCCTTAACTTAACCGTCCGCCCCAACCTGTCACCCATTCCATTAAACCATAAGGCATAGGAGCAGAACTATAACAACCAGCCCATCGAGTCAGCTCCATCCTACAATGAGATTATGGCTTGGGTACAAAGCACTTCGGGATGATGCGCAGTTGTGAAAGGCATTGTAGAAATGCAGGTCTGTTTAATTACACAATTCATCTCAGCATTTACATCCCACCAAAACTGCCATCTGTTTTAATGCACCTGGCATCACCAAAACTGCAGGATTCAGACTCTGTCCTTGTATAGTTTGTTCATTTATGTCCAAAGTACCATTATACTCCCATGTAGAGGATGACCCCAGGAATCGTTAGCTGAATAACAGAATGATTTCTCATCAGCTTCGTTCAGAAGTTGACCCAAACTTTGAAGGAATCAAAGACATAATCTTTCACATAATCCTCAAGACGTTAACAACGCAGCTTCATTGTAAATTAGTCGATACGAATGAGAATGAATACTGGTCAATAAAAGGCAGACATGTCTGTGAAGCCTTTCTTGCACGCATCAGGTTGATCACAAGAATGCCAAATTTCAAACCATCACAACAATGTAGACGACAGGAGATTTAGGCACAAATTGGTTGGCAGATCAATTGTGATTGGCCAAGGTGTTGCCGTGAAGGGAACAATAGTGAATCCTCAGTTCCCCAAACCCCCAGGTAATTCAACAAGGATTCAAGGCTTGAATAGATTTCTTTTGTTTGCGGAGACCAAGTCCCTGCATCTGAATGTAAATCACTTCAAATGAGGATAAACAATCTCATTACGGGCTCAATTGATCGCCTTGAACAACCAAAATTGACTTGTCATCCAACTGTCACCCCTTTCTACTCTATAAATTGTTGCGATGGTTTGAAATTTGGCTTTCTTGTGTGAGTCCTGATGACGTGGAGGTGCCGCTGTTGGAATGGGGTGGACACGGTCAGAAGTCACAACGACACCAGGTTATAGTCCAACAGGTCTATTTGAAATCACAAGCTTTCGGAGCGCTGCTCCTTCGTCACCTGATGACCTAGAGCTGTGTGACTTCTGACTTGTTCCTGATGAGGTCAGGGTGAGAAACTTCAGGAACCTCTCTCTTTTTTCACCAATATTCAAGTTCTGCCATACCAAGCAACCAGTAAACAAATGCTTGCAAAATGTAAACATTCAAGTTTTGGCTTATACAAATTATAAAAGTGATTGGTCCACGAATGATAACTAATAAGATTAATCAGTGTTTTTGACTTTTGTTCTATTGGGATGGTTCATTTTGATTTTCGCTCTGGATCAAATCAAACAACAAGGCTTGAATTAGCAGAAAAATGAGAGTAGAACAAGCCAGAGGGAGCCTGACCCAAGCTGAGAGCGAGTGGCTGCAGACGTGCAGGGTAAAAGAAATCTTAGCTTGGCACTTCGCCTTGCAGCATATTGCTTCACGAGGACAACAGACTCCAGCAGCACGGGAAAGCATAGCAAGATCCCACAGAGAACAAGCAGGAGCCAGCTTCTCGTACTTTTGCATTCAGAGGAAAGGGAGTGCTTTTCCTTTTCGCAGAGCAAGATCCCACACATGGCAATGAGATGAACAACACCTTAAGCCTAAATAAAAACTGAAAGAACTGCGGATGCTGTAAATCAGGAACAAAAACAGAAGTTGCTGGAAAAGCTCAGTAGGTCTGGTAGCATCTGTGAAGAACCAATCAGAGTTAACGTTTCGGGTCTGGTGACCCTTCCTCAGAACCTTCCTCACCGGACCCGAAACATTAACTCTGATTGTTTCTTCACAGATGCTGCCAGACCTGCTGAGCTTTATCAGCAACTTCTGTTTTTGTAACGCCTTCAGCCTGTTGTGTCTAGAACGGTTGAGAGAGTCTTGTAACAACCACAGGCATTGTCTGACAGGCCGAGGCTGGTCTCAGCATAAGAGCTCACTGAGAGGAAGGCGCCTAGAACTATATTAAAGAATTAAGCCATTGGCTTCTGACACAGCCCAGAAAGGATGTAACTGAGTCACATTAACTGTCATAACACATCCACATACATATACAGCATCATGCCTCCAAATGCACCTCCCAAACATTTTCCAACAAAGCTCTCAGGCTGCTTCCTACCCCTCTCCTCTGTAACTTCCTCCTACAAGGGGTCGGAGTATGGAAGTTGGGAAGTCTTGCTGCAACTGCCCAAGGTCTTAAGGAGGCTGCAGCTAGAAGATTGTGCACAGTTTTGATCTCCTTCATCAGGAAGGTTCACTTAGAGTTATACTGCACAGAATCAGATCCTTCGGGCCAACGTGTCCATGCTGACCAGATATCCTAAATGAATCTAGTCTCATTTGCCAGCATTTGGCCCATATCCCTCTAAATCCTTCCTATTCATATACCCATCCTGATGCCTTTTAAATGTTGTAATTGTACCAGTCTCCACCACTTCCTCTGGCAGTTCATTCCATTCACACACAACCCTCTGCACGAAAACGTTGCCCCTTAGATTCCTTTTGTATCTTTCCCCTCTCACCTTAAACCTATGCTAGTTTTGACTCCCCTACTCTGGGGAAAAAAGACCTTGGCTATTCACCCTATCCATGTCCCTCATGATATTATAAACTTCTATAAGGTCACTCCTTAGCCTGCAATGCTCCAGAGACAAAAGACCCAGCCTATTCAACCTCTCCCTATAGCTCAAACCCTCCAATCCTGGCAACATCCTTGTAAATCTTTTCTGAACCCCTTCCAGTTTAACAACATCTTTCCTATAGCAGGGAGACCAGAATTGAATACAGTACAGGTATTTCTCCCGTAACATGATAGTTACATTCTTGTGTGACCTTGCGCTATAGAAAATTGCCGTAGAAAAATCGTGTTATAGGAAAATCGCTGTACTATACAGTAGAAATCCAAACAGCATCCACTATTCACCAACCACGTTACAGCCAATTAGAGTTAACAAAACACACGTTATAGCAGAAATACCTGAATTCTAAAAGTGGCCTGACCGATGTCCTGTACAGCTGCAACATGACCTCCCAACTCCTATACTCAATGCACTGACCAATAAAGGTAAGTGTACCAAACACCTTCTTCACTATCCTGTCCACCTGTGCCTCCACTTTCAAGGAATTATGAACTGACACTCCAAGGTCCCTTTGTTTAGCAACATTCCCCAGGACCTCACCGTTAAGTGTATAAGTCCTGCCCTGATTTGCCTTTCCAAAATGCAGCACCTCGCATTTATCTAAATTAAGCTCCATCTGCCACTCCTTGGCCCATCGTCCGATCAAGGTCTCATTGTCCCCTGAGATAACCTTCTTCACTGACAACTGCACCACCAATTTTAGTATCATCTGCAAACTCCTCCAATATTCACATCCAAATCACTTAGACTGCAGGCAGTTCAGGAAAGATGGATTTAAAGTGTTGTCCCATGAGGAATGATGAGCAAATTGGGCCTATGCTCTCATTTAGAAGAATAAGCGATGCCTGTGAAATGTAAATTTCTGAGGGAGCCCAACAGGGTGCCTACAGAGAGGAATGTGTCCCAACCAGACTGGGAAATCTTGAACTGGGGGCCAGTTTCAGAGTAAGGGGTCACCCATTTCAGATGTAGATGAGGATGAGTTTCTTCTCTCTGAGGGGAGTTATTCTGTGGAAATTTCCTCCCCAGCAAGCAGTGGAGAGTACAATTTTGGGGGATGATCGTGAAAGACAGAGAGAGGGGGACAAAATTACTTTGACACAGAATATGAAGCGTAGAAAGAGCCCATTCAAGCGAACAGGTCCATGCCTGCGTTCTAGAAGAATGAGATATAACCTTATTGAAACACAGAAAATTCTGAGAAGGATTTGACACGGTAGGTGCTAACCAGGGGCAAAGCTGAAAGTTAAGGAGTGTCCCATTTAAGATGAAGGTGAGGAAGAATTTCCTCTCTCAGAGATCTGTTAGTCTGGGCAATTCTCTCTCCCAGAGAACATTGTGTCATCGAATTTATTCAAGACTTTACTAGATAGATTTTTGTTTGACAAGGCGTTGTGGATGTGGGGCGGGTAGGCAGTAAAAGTCGAATTGAGGCCATAATCAGGTCAGTCATGATCTTATTGAGAGGCCAAAAGGCCTACTCCTGTTCCTAGTTCTTCAGTTACTGTACCTTTCCGTTCAGCTATTCCTACTGATCCTCAGTTCCTCCCTCTGGTGGATCCTCCAATACCCATCTCTGCCTTGCCATCACTGTGCCCGCAATTTCCTCACACAATTCCATTACACAGGCTAACTTTTGAGTTATTTTTAGCTGGGTGCTGGAACTAAATCCCACAGGTAAATTTATTTCCTTCATAAACATAAAACCATCCACTACCATGGGCCATGACGATCAGGAAGCATGTTTCCATGCAACCACAAATTATTTGCACATTATTCCTGTCGTTTTGTGTCTCCCTGTCTGCATCTTAATCAGAGTCTGGTTGGCTGTATCTGCGTCCGTCTGAAAATCCCAGAGGGGGAATATTTATATTTCAGTGAATATCCGTTCAGGGCTTCCCACTGGGGCCAGCAGGATAGAACATCCCCGGGTGCCACGTCGAGTCAAGTTAGCTTTGGGTGTTCTGGGTTCAATGAGGCCTTGCAGAGTCGCCTGATCTCAGGCTTTGGAACCTGGAAGGTGGGAGGTGGGGTCCCAACGACCAAAATTCCAATGGTTTGCGATCACTCTGTTTAACACCCTGCTCCAGCACACCCATTTGTGGATCTGGCTTCCAGCCATGGTGTCCACAGCTGATTAGCCAAGTCACCAACTTGATGTATCTTTTACTCCTTGGAACACAGGTGTCGCTGGCAAGGCCAGCATTTATTGTCCATCCTCTGGAACAGAGTGGCTTGCTCAGCCATTTCAGAGG